TAACAAAACGATACCAAAAACGATAAGGTTGGATTCACGAAAGGCCGTTTGGAAGGACCAGCTGCACCAGTAAGGGCTAGCACTACTTGCACTATTTGCTGTATTGAAAGAGAGAGTCCATGAATTCCCGCTACATCTCCTACTCTTACGAGAGTCAGAACTTCCTGACTAATGGTTGTTTTTGTTGACAGCTAATTGCTCGCAGTGTAATACTTGGAAAAGCAAGGAAGCCCCAAACACAGTAGAACGATAAGGAGTAGAAAAAACGATACGGTTCAATACGGGCTTTTTCTACAACCTGTAGTGGCACTGGAGCATTGAGCTTTTGTGTGGCACGTTCGAAATTTCTTGGCTGTGGTTTGATGTACAGTCCTGCGGCGTGCAAAGCTTCAAGCCCAGCCCTTGTGCGGAGGCCACGCAGTCTATAAGACTCCGGAGGAGTGTCAGAACGCGCCGCTTGGATCCGCTTGGTCTAGCGCAGATTTCAATTATCTCACTGTAAGATGTGAGGTACAAAATGTCAGGCTGTATAGCCCAAGACCAGGCAGAATCTGGGTTCTGGAAAAGAGCTGGCTCATCAAGTTGCCATGAAGCCCAGGATTGCTATGCTCAACGGCAGCATGTTCGAGGGGCACACTCTCCAAGTGGTCACTTGGCTGAGCCTGAGGGTCTCCAGCTGGAAAGAGCGGGAAGCAAGAGCACTTCCATCCATCACTGAGCCAGACATCGCAAAGAGTTGCTAAATTGCCGGGTGCCTCTGTTGAATTCAAGTTCCTTGCCGAGTTGGATGCTGCCTGCCCAGGACGTGTGGACCAAGAAGAGCCATGGTTGCACAAGGGATTGATTCAGCTAACTCGGGGACGCGCTGAGCCTTTCTTAGAAGAAGCTTTCATGACCAACATCAGCAAATGTTGCTCCCTGCCTGCTGTGGGGAGGACCTACCACCGAACACTTAGAGAAAACTTTTTTTAAGCGCGCCCCAACCAATTTGAGATATTGGTAGATCATTGTACGGGTGGTTGTAGAATCAGTAGCAGTGGTGGGTTTTCGTGAGGGCTGCGGTAGCGGCAAACGTTTAACATGTTAGAGGGTATCCTGATTTAAACCAGTTGCAACTTCTGCATAGAACGCTAACGAAGCGCTTCTTTGAGCTGTAAACTCTCCACAGAGACTGCTTTGATCTGTTACTGCTCAGGGATCCGGTGCCAACTGCCTGAGCCGACTTATCAGCATAGAGAGCGCCAAGGGATTGGGACAGGCCTAGGGCGCATCGTGTCGTAGCGATCATGGAAGGCACAGGAAGAACAGTAGAGGTGGCCACCAGAACTCAGCACTAGATGCTGGAATATGGTGCCCCCCTTACCGCATTCGGGCGCATGGCTACGATAAACATCATGGCTCTTCTATGCTTTTACAAATGAGAGCAATCCAAGGTAATAATCCTAGGGCAGGTGGAGGGCTCGTAATCGCGCCAGCCAAAGCATCATGCCCTTGGCCTTCCTGAGTCCATTCTGCTTGGCAGCTGCATAGTTCAGCACTTTGCCACCCATTCCTTGAGGAGGGACTTCATAAAATGGAGCTCATGCAGTGGTTGTTCGACCCAAAAGCCCGGTACAGTACACTCCCGCGATGAGGATTGCAGCCCAGACTGTAGACCTTTCCTTCCTGGGTGGCCCATTTCTGGCTGCTGGATTGTTGGTGAGCCTGCCGGTGTGCAGCTACATGCAGCACGTGCTCAGGAGAAGTCGTGACAGGACATCAAGACTATGTAGACTAGGCAAAGGCGCTGTACTTGGCGGGGCCAACAAAGACCTTTACAAGAGGGATTACACAGGCTATCCGTAGCCAACACTTCAGCATGAAAGTCTAGCCTCAAGGACCACAATTCCAAGAACCCTGCCAAGACATCTTCAAAATATTGTTTACGCCGAGCATGTGCGAAATGAATCCTCTAACTGAAGGCTTCGCGGAGCCAGACACGTCTCATCGAAGCTTAGTATGGCCAGCCTGATGCAAGCCGGACATCACAACTTGTTGCATATTGGCAGCAAAAGTCCGCACAAGCACTTCGTATTTCGCTTCAGCTTGAGCTATAGTGAATGAAAAATGTACTTGGTTCAGAGTTAGGACGTCTTCTTATGTCCCCAAGCTTTCACATCCCTGTGTGAGACCTCCGGCCCACAAACTGACGGAGGCAATGTTATTTGGCAGGGTTTGCATCATGCTGCTCTGTAGAAGCCCCTCGTGACAGGCGAGACTGTTCATGGAAGCTTATGCAGGTCAACGCAGATCTTGAAACAGGTAGCCTTCGATTAAAGGCTCAGAAAGTTTGCATGCAGCTATTGCACATGTACCCTGGGCCCGGGGCACCTAAGCAACGAAACAGAAACCTTGGGCATGCAAACAAAACAGAAGTTGGAGCATGCAAAGGCCTGACATGTCACTTGCAGAGCAATTTTTGCTTGAGGCGCCTCGACTCTGTCAGCGCGTGGCAGAGGCCTGCATACAAGCTTGTCCTGGTGATTCTTCCTGCTTCTCACAATCCTCTTAGCCAAGGGGGCGGGGGGCGACGTAAACTGTATAGTCAGTGACAGGTTACCAGCTTCTTCTGGTGAGATGCAGCTATGAGACCTTGTTCATTAAGCTAAAAGCTTTGCACTGCAGCTAACCAAGCTTAACTCTTGAACCCATGCGCTGCTCAATCTGGAATTTTCCCTCCAGCTGAGCCAGGCTCTCCCCCGACGAGCTGGCCGGCCCCTCGGACAGAATCTGTAAGTATCCTATATACAATACAAGCACCAAAAAGATCTTGAATCAGGCTGCGGAAGGCTTCAAAGCAAAAACGTGCTCCTGAGCTTCTTTCTGGCATTCGCGTTATCTCAGGTGGGCGCTTTGTGGGCGCTGGCGCAAGGGAAAAAGCACGCGACGGACAACGCGCTCGGTCCCATGGGACCTGAGATGTTTGGTAGACTGGGCTAGCACGTCTCTGGACTCTACCTGGGCCTGAATCATGATGACAACATATCAGAGCCATTGCAGCCATCTCATCAATGACGCTCCTTGGCCAAGGGCAGCGCCTCCAGATGAGTCAAAGGCACTCGAGGCGGCTCATGGCCTGTATGTGCATACCTGTAGCAACCCCCATGTTAAATGTAGCCGCAGACGATAAGTTACGCCACACCTGATGCAATCAAGCCAATCCCTCATGACCTCCAGGCTGCTGCCCGCGCCTGCGCAGCTGCGACGGGAACCCTGTCACCAAGCCAAATCCTTTGAGTGGCTAAATATGACAATCACAGCAAAAGCACGTTTGGACTTACAGTGTTGGTCGGTGTGGTCCTGCTCATCCGCCCCTCCCATCCCTCTCGACGTCATCGTTGTTCGATTACCATTGTCATTCTACCAGTATCGTTTGACTTGATTTTTCCCGCCTTCGTCGGCACATCGTATGTCCAAGTATTGTTGGGAGCGGTCGCAGTGACGGAGTTTCCCGCTGCAAGGTCAGACTTGCACTCTGCTGGCGGCCCTGGCCCGTTTGGTAACTCGGCTCCCACGGCCAAGGTTTTGGGACTTTAAGGTTTCAGGTTTCAGGATGTTTTTAGAGTAGCATGGTGGGGTTTGAGGTCTCAGCCTTGTGGAGATGCGCATGACTCAGCTTCAGAATAGTTGTAAGAACGAGACTGGCAGTTCGATTTCCGTCAAGTTCATAGCCAAGGTTCCAAGCGACAGGGAAGCAGCTCGTCCCCCGGAATTCCAACTGAAACAATGCTTCTGTATAAGCTTTGCAGGCCTGCGCTGGCCGCAATTGTTTTCTGTAAGTTCGCGCTCAAGTCTGAAAGACATCAAGAGGCAATTTGCTTGGAGCCTTCATGTGCAGTACTTGCGGGCTTCCTTCTTGCAAGGTCCGGTCACTCCTGGAGCGGCAGCAGCCTCAACTCTCAGGGACCCATTGCGTGTTTGCAGCAATGTGGCGACCTTTTACACTGTCGCGTCGTTGGCTCTTTACCTCATCCTTGCTACATGTCAAACTTAAGCTTTCAGATGAAAACGTCGCAGTCCGCGCTGAAACAGACAGGAAGGGTCTTGGATTCATGTCAATGCGCAATTATCAGTAGCCTTGTTTGCTATATTTGGGGAGCACTAGTTGTACGACCCATTTTAAATCAAGAGGCAATTTCGCTGTATGTGCCTTGAAACTTGAAATTCGGATGTAGTTATCACGTATAGAAGGAAGTTCCAAAACCAATCATCCAAGGAGTTAAAAGGCCGCAGGTCCTCAGCACCTGCTGCATGCTGAACCGGCCATGTAGAACACAATGGCCACCATCGGCATTATTGTTCTCTCACTACTACTTGTATCAGCAGTTGCATCAGATAAAGCTAGTCTTAAAAGTTACCCTGGTGCTTTCTCAGACTACGTGTGCTACCATTACTTGCGTCGTGTTGGGAATCCAGTGGTGTTGCAAGCTGCGTTGCATCACAGCGCGTCGGTGGACTGCAGACATCTTGGAGATGAGGCTGCAGCGCGTCGAGCAGATGCAGCCGGCCAATTTGGTAGAGGCCTGCTGATCCTGCATTCCCATCGGCAGAAACCAGGACATTAGAGGCCACATTTGAATAACGAGCCTTCCCTGCGTCTCCGCAGCATCCGAAGATCAGGAACAGTTCTGGTGAATGCAGGTCTTGTGCTCCGTCATGCTCTTGGAGGTTCGTGACGAGCAGCTACTGACGACCGCAGGCTGCAGAGCAGATTGTATTTGAGAAGGCTGCCAGCTGCAAAGATTAAGATCCACCCAAAGTCTGCACATCCCAAAGCCTATGTCGAGACTAGCGTGTGGCTTCTCTCGCCACCATGCCAGGGGAGACCTTTGTGACAGGCATGGGCGCAGGCGCCGGCAGGGTTTGGGCAGGGACTGTTCCTTTCACGAACAAGAATCAGAACTTTAGACGCGCGTACTGAAGTCATTTCTGAAATCCTCCATCTTTGTTTTTAAGCGCGGCGCAAGGCACAGCGTAAGGGCTCAGAAAGAGTGATTGGCCCAAGTTTTGGCCAAAGTAAACACGCGCAAGCTCGCAGAAGCTTCGCGAAAGCACGGCGCAAGGCCCCAATTCGAGATCAAGGAATACTGGGCTATCCCCTTCTGCGCAGCGCAGGCGATCATTTATCAGGCTTAATAAGCTGCAGGGCAGAAGTGGTGGCCAAACTCAAGCCAAGCTCGGATACTTTCAACACAAGGCTGGATTTGACATGATTTGACATTATGTGTGTTCGTGGACCGCTCAGGAATGAACCTTGCTTTCGACAACTGTCAGCCATAGTGATCACATGTGTCCGTGGGTCCACAAACTCCTCAGGCATGCGGCTGCAAAGCATCCCTACCGGGCAGGCCTTGCTAAGCCTTGTATGCCGAATTGAAAAGTGCAGCTTTCTATGACCGACTGGGTGGCCTGAACAAAGTTAGTCAAATTTTGAGGTTGGTCAGAAGATGACAAGTCCGGCTGCTTAAGCTGTGCTGTTAATGCCACAGCCGCACCAGACTCTGCTGGCAGGTGGCTCGTCTGGCGTTGGCAGCTGGACGCTTTGTGCGGCACCTACATTTCCGGCTGCAGGTAGGCATGGGATGAGCAGTGGGGTTTCTACACGGCACGCTGTTTTTAAACGAGCATTCACCAAGAAGTGGGCCATGTGGCTCGTGTTTTGTAGCCCAGGGCCAAAGGCAACTGGCCTCGACGGCCTTGGCTGAGGCGGCGAGACGCTTAGGACCGAACCCCGATAAAGATCTTATGGAAAAGAACATGTAAGAATGAAATGGCAAGCTAAGTCACGCAGAAATTTAGGTTTTGGGGTTTGGGTTCCAAGTCTCAGGGGATTTAGGCCATTTGATTGGAGTTCAGGGTTAACAGTGAGTTCTCCTTTAGTTCGTGGACCGGGACGTGGGGGTTTTCTGGGGGGTTTCGTATATTGGCGAACTAGACAGCATGGAAGGGTTCTGCCATTTTGCCTACTGGGGAAAAATTTGGATTGGGTAGAGGGATTTGAGGAGTCAGGTTTGGGGTGGTGTAGTCCACTGTAGTCCTGCCTCTCAATAAAAGGAAGCCCATGCTTGATGTTATTATCTCTGGTAGAAGAGGAGGACGTATGGTGGACTGCCCCTGTGGTGAAGTGTGCTGAAGGACGGCTGTGCAGTCGTAAGTCAACTTTGTTGAGTGCAAAAAAAACATCAGATCAATAAGTGGGCCACCTCTGTGGGAATTGTCCCGGCCTCGGCAGGGGACAAGACGTGGGATAGGGTGCTGAAGATGTTCAGAAGTCTTTCTTTGAAGTTGTAGCCTCAGCACAGAGAGAGTAACGTATTTCAAGGCATAGATCCTTGCCGGAAGTGTGTCAGTCCAGCTTACTACAGTACGCGTCGAACAAGACAGGCTCAAAAGCTCCTGACCTTGCAGGACTAGGTCAGGAACTCCAGCCCTTCGAGCTGGCACACCTCTCCTTTGCAGCGGGGGAACTCAGAGCTTTTGCAGCTGGCTTGGAGATATTCTGGCATTTGATGTTCTTTTTGCGGATTGCTGGGACTGACAGGCCGCATTGGCAAGCCTGGTGGACAGGCGCAGATTGGGTTTTGCCTTTTATTACGATGTCGGGCGATGAGCAGAGTCGCATCTTTGGGGCTCGTGAGCTTTCTGCAAATCTCACTGTATAATCAGAAGGCTGTCATGACTCCTCGCCGCTGAGTCGATTGCATTGGCGTATATACTTGCAGTGACGCCTCCGAAGACCGCCCCATTACATTACTTGGTCCGAAGGTCCAATTTTGCTCAAGGCGCCTGCTGGTGCGTACTTAACCCCTAGGGTACTTATCGCTGATCCTTGCGTCGCCGCCGCTTGTTCGCACTCAGTTCCTAAGGCTGAGAAAGTGCCGAACACATTGGAGCTAGGTCATTAAGCACTTCATGTTTGTCTTTGCAGCCTACGTGCATGCAACAATGGCGCTGCTGCTCGAATGGTCCAAAATGCTTTGCCATGGGTTTTCTGCAGCAGGATGTTGCATTTACTCGTTTTTGTCAGGCGTCCTGTCAGATTTTGAAAAATGTGCTGGGATATTTGATGCATACACACCCTACGGCAGGGAGCCAAATCCTTTGACCCAGCGCAATTGGACAGGTTAGCTACATGCAGCACTCGACGCGAAGAGCACGGTAACGACAACAATGCAGCTAATGGTAGGAAGACTTATGGAGCGGCTCAGTTTGGTTGATGCTCAGGTTGTTTGCTCATCATTTGAGCTCAGCCAAGTCCAGACCAACCCCCCCAATGGAGCCAGGCAAGCTGAAGCAATCCAAAAACATTGTGCGCTCCCCAAAATTCCAAAAGATGAATCTTTTTTCGTTACTCAAAATTTGACAGTCATGGGGCCTCAAGCGAATCCTAGGGAATTGAGCCGAAAACCTATCCAACATTCAAAAACAAAGTGGGACGCCACGATTAGGTGTTGCAGCGTTCAGAGTGGCAATTGCATCACAACAAGAGCAATGACAACAAGTCCGGTAGAATCTCAGTGATAATGCTGGCTGTCCCCATGGCGACATCCACTTCAGCAATCATGGCGATAAACAACTAGAATCAGTACTCTGCAGGACATGAAGTCTGCCGTGTTGCGCCGGTCTCCGGCATTGCTCCCTGCAGCCTTGGCCGTCGCGGCCTGTTGCCTGGTGGCGCGGTTTTCCGCACAGGTGACACGGCTCACAAGAAGTTGAAGGGGCTCGCTGCTTGCTGCGTGGAGGGCGGAAGAACACTTTTATTCATGGGCATGTGGCCCTGATGACTTGGCCCCACCCTTTGATCGAACAAAATCCTCAAGGCCCTGTTAGGTTGCCGGTCCTAAACCTTTGCTGTTCGGAAGTGACCGCAGGTGCTGGGCTTCGTTCCCTCAGCGCCCTCGGTGTCCTCGTCTCTGCGCACGCGAGTCGCGCCCCGCGTGGCCTTGGCTGCGTCTATGCGCGACAGCGAGGGCACCGGGCTGAGCGGCAGTTGTTCCTTTGAGATTGTCATGCGAGGATGCTCAGAATGATCCCCTTGGCTTCTTGCTTGTTCCTGATTCTTCGTTAGGCGGCCTAGGCTCAGATCCATTAAGCACCTCGTTATCTAAAGGCATCTCACAGGAGATTTCTCAAGTGCACGTGACAGGGCGCGCCCGCTGCGAAAGACAGCCATAACTCTGTCAGTCACAAGCTGCGATTGCAGAAAATCCTACAGACCAACAAAGTAAAGCTGGAAAGGCAACAAAGTTCGGGAGCCAAAGACTTTCGATGCATCCGACGCATCCAGCGTAGCCCGCACTGTCACTGTGGAGCATCCTGGCTGCAATCGGCGTAGTCAGGTTCAGCATCCCTCTGGTAGAAAGTAGAAAGGCTCAAGGATATTCAAAGTAATAATGTTCAGGGGACCCAGGGATGGTATGATGGAGCTTCTACTGTACAATGCCCATGTCTCTGACGACAAGCTTAGCTTGTCGCTACTTAGCTATCATCGGAGCATGCAATGAGGCAATGGCTTGGGGAGGGATGACAACGCGGCGGAGCGGGGAGACCTTTTTTGAAGGACAGTTGCAACCCAAATGGTGCTCTAAGGTACAAGAAGAGACCCTTTGGCGTGCTCGCATACGCCCCGAGCACAAACGGCAAAGGAGCCATGATCTGGAACATGAACGAGAACTCCCGGTGCCTTGGACAACAGATTCTGTGTCGCAGGCGTGGCCCACTGTGTGTAATTTCTGGCTTGATGAGGGTGTGCTGCCTATTTTGCTACCGCCGGCCCAGCCCCACCCGTCCCCACCAGAAAATCAACGGAATGACCCTATATCCTGTCAAGTTGGAGCACCTGCTGCCATCATGATCATGTGTTCTACTTGGAGATGCGCCTTCGTTTCGCTACAAATTCTCAATTTGTCTTTCTTTTTCCGCGTTGGGCCTTCGCATGCTTGAGTTGCAGCTTTTGTCCGCCCGCTCCCTTGCATGGACTCGAGGTATCCGGGTGACCCACAGGGCCAAGCGTGGACGGGTGGTGCGAAGCAGTACATGGCAGCGGCTTGGCACTGACAGTGCAGGTGTATTTATTAGATGTTATTGGTTTTGCACTTTCACTGCTTGGTCCAGTCAAAACGAGCCAAGTTTTGATCACTGAGTTGCTGGTCATGCTAAAGGCACAGGGAGTCTTGAGAACCTGCAGTAGGTAAACTGCAGCAATTGAAGCACATCATTTTGTTCTGTAATGTTCTGTATAGGGATCCCAGTGTCAGAGCTACGTGTGCGGCATTGCTGCATGACAAATCAAAGACGGGATATGGAGTGGGGCTCCCGAAATCAGACCTATGACAACTAGTTCGCATAATCTAATGATAGCATCAAGTTTCAAACCTTCAAACCTCACCCCAGAGAGCAACCGGGAGACTCCGCGAGACGAGTAGCCTCCATCCTTCAACAGCTCCTGAGGTGAAGTCCATCGCAGGCCAAGATGTGAGCACCTGGGACTTCTGGGACATCCTCGACGCTCGGCGCGCATTTCCCGACTCCCTGAGAAAGAGTCAGGGCCTCTAAAATGTGTGTGTAACAAGTAAGCTGAAAAATACATTAATACATTGGATACATGCAAGTGTATATATATATATAAATATGATAAACTATGAGGGCGTGAGGTACAGCGTTTCGGGAGTTGCTACGGGATATACAACATCCTAAGGTGTGCCCTGTAGTGGGTCCAATGTTCACTTAGCAGTTTTGAGTGGGTCAGTCACTTCCAGCCTGAAGCCTTTATCGCTGGCCTCAGTTGACCCAAAGACATATGAAACAGAAACAGAGCTGCAAGCCCCCAGGATTTGTTGGATGACAAGATCCTGGACAACTCCGCAGGCAGCGTCATGCTTTGCAGTTCTATGCCTTGGTTGACATTCTTGCTGCATATCACGCAGTTGAATCATTCAGAGGGCTGGACCGCTGTTGCGCCTTCAATGGCAGTAACCTAGCCTGCGGCACCTGAACTTGTCAAGTACATCGCAGGGGTCCACAAACCATCCACAACATCAAGGTAGGTGTTGCTTTTCAAGTGTTGAAAACTCAAACATGAAGGGTTATGTCAATCTAGAGATGGCAAGAGCCGCCAGCAGATGCCAGGTATTTTCCAGTCGAGTGGCAGTGGCGCCATGGGCAACAAGCCTGCTGAGCTGCCTGTGACGGTTGAGCACCCTGGCATGGGACGATTCCCGTGCTCGAAGTTGCCCAAATCGCCCAATCTACCTACAACCCCCCAACTGCCCGACCTTTTCTCTCACAATACCAACAGGTACGCAGAGTTCAGCTCCATTGGCGCTGCTGCGCCGGCTGCACCTGCAGCTGCGGGCAGCTCCGCGCCCCGCCTAGGTACCATTAAATAGGGGAAGCTTCATTTTCGGGTGGGGGTGATTATCAGGTAAGGGCGGTACTGAGCTATCCGCTAGCTTTCTTACTTTGCATTGATGGGGCCTATTGAGCTGGGATCTATATATCTTTGGGAAAACGCAGGCTTAATGTTGGTTAGCTCTGTTTAGTTGTACCCTTGGCTTCATTCAATAAGGTGAGCGGAAAGTCGAGCAATCAATGTGATCGGGCAACTTCGGGTTGTTTGGATTCTTACGGTGCTATTTAGGGTCGAAGGCTTGTGAGGGTTCAGTTCGACTGCCATTCATGGTGCTTGGTGCGGAATTTGTTTTCAAGTCTTGGCGCCTTCTCCATACAGGCACCACTTGGAACAAATAAGTTCAGGAGTGATGCAAGACAGTCCAACCAAGCCTTCCTGAAGTCCTCACTGCCAGTGGGCATTCTGGGACGTGAGGGGGGCTCTCACGTCAATTTCACCTAAGGAGCAGTTTGTGGACACCAGGGACGAGCGGTTCAAGGATCTCCCAAAGGATGCTACTATCAAGGACGCTTTTGGTGACAAAGGGGTCCCAGGAGTGCTTGTAACTGAACTTGGCCAGCCTGAATGGGAGCATGTGCTTGTGACAAGTTCCCTGCATTGTGGTATCTCTCAGGGCAAATGGGCGCAACCACTTGCAACTGTCGGTCCTGTAGGGCTTGGTTAGGATTCTGCTAGGCCCGAACTTGTGGTGAGGGATGGGCAAATGTGGGTGGTACTGGTCATAGGGGAAGGACTTGGAATCTTTGAGTTCAGTAAGTAAACTGTGAGAAAGCCAGCCCAGGGTATGGCAAGCACCCGTGCCTGCCTTTGAGGAGTACAAGATTCCTGTGGCACCGCCTACCTATACCAGCAGCGTTGTGGAGGGCTTGTGCCATGCCTTTGAAAGCTGCTGGGAGGGTCAGGGGAATTTGTTGTGTAGATTTAACTGGGGATACTTGACGTTGTTTTTATGGCTCATAGGGGTTCTAAGTCTACTTACTAGGTCCCCTGGAGCCTGCATGACACTTTCGTCGCAAGGCAGGTCCAGGCTACTTGGAGGGTCAGGGGGACTTAGTATGATTATGACCCCTTTTTTAGCCATATAACACCAGTTATTGCGCCATTTAACCCATTCAATAAGTCCGCCTGACCCTCCAAGTATACTTTAATTGAGCTTTTTGCAGAAAGCATAGGCTCTCACAAAAACGTTGAACATTAATTGAGATACGGAAGTGGACTGTCCCGCTTTGCACCAGTCATGGAACAGCAGAGATAGGCTTTTGGATGTTCTCTGATGCCCGTGCTTTCAGGAACCCTAAACCCTAAATAGTATTATCCCAATCTAACCCCAATATACTAACTAGCCCTAAACCCTAAATAATCCTCTCCTGTGCCCTTCCTGCAGCTTAGGCGAAGCGTCGTAGCCTCCATGCCGGAGCCCACAGGCCACGCTGGGCCCAGATATCAAGGCCAGGCGCAGCAGAATTATCCCAATGTATGGGGTTTCCTAAAGTTAGGGGTACCTTTCTGGGGGTTCCCCATTATAAGGATTATAGTATTTGGGGTCTATATTGGGGTCCCCTTGTTTTTGGGAAACTACTATCTGCATCTGAAGGGATTGGAGCAGAGCAACAGTATGTAGCTTCAGCACCTGTGATTTTCTGAACTCCTTTGTCAGGAAAGGCTTCACTGAACGAGGCCAGCATTAGACAAATGTTGGCCCAGTTCAAGAGGCCTGGTTGCACTATCTGATGCCTCGACCTGCACAGGCACACCTAAAATAGTTTGTGGACCTCTCTTTCCCTTGGAGGCTTCGCTGTAAATACTCAGGACCGGCCAAATTCTGCCCATGAAGGATGCCTACCAACTCGCCATTGTTTCTCGGCATCAGGCTCCATGTGACATTTCTTGTCAATTCCCTGGCATCACTTGTATGAGCGAATGCGACAACCAGCACCAGAGATGCAGTAGCAGAGAGCGCGCAACCTGTTTCGATTGCATTTCCGGCTTGGTGGATGCATGAATCTGCCAAGCCAGCTTTAGACAACCCTATCCAAGCATGTACTGACGTGTTCATTTGAGCGTCTATGGCCTTGAGCTTTATCTGTCTGGGATTGCTAGCGTGACTGTGAGGCAACAGTTACAAGACGTTCTACGGAAGTTGTGCCTGCAACTCAACTCAGGATGCATTCGACATCTTGGTGAAGGAGAAGACACTGGGCAGAGTGAATGTACCCGTGGGCAAGAAGGCAGCGCCAGACAGACCTATGGGATACCAGGACTTCTTGTGCTCATCCCCATAAGCAGCACAAGCAAGGAGGGAGCGCAAAACCAAAGTCAAAACTCGCTTTGGCAGTGCATATCGTAAAGCTTCTAAGCCAAAGACCTTGGGTAGGTCACTGTGGTTGGTGATCTCCACGGCCAGCTGCTGCCCGACTTGTTTTTGCATATTGCTAGGATTGCAGGCTTTGCTGTTAGGATTCTCGATGTAACATTCAAAGAGGACTTTCCAGTTAGTGCTGCCACCCAATTAATTATCCAGTGACCTCTAGGGTCATTCTATCATCTTATCTTGTTTGGCGCTAAATTACAGGTCATCCCAGGACTCGCGCAGGCTCCAGACACCCCCGGCACAGCACAGTGGCAACGGGAACTGCCTTCCACCCATATTATTCAAGCAGCTTGCCTTCGCATGAGGTTTGATTTCGATCACATGCTGAGCTTGGCGGGCTTCCCATCGCCCGACAATCAGTGCCATGTCTTGCAATTGTTTTGGGATGCTGGTGCTCAGTACCAGTCATTGTGGTTTCCAGGTTTCGGCGCAGTAGGTAGCCTCGAAGCAGCAGGACATAGCAGGTTGTATGAGGCTGGCCGGCCTCCATGAAACCGTCGGCAAATTTCAGAAAAGGCCAGGATTTGCGCTCACCCCTCCTCCAGAAGCCTCTGCCAGGTTCCTCTTCAACGGTGACTTCGTGGACCGCGGTCCCTGGAGTGTGGAAGTGATCTTCACAATCTTGGCCTTCAAGGTGCACATCCTGCCGATGTGAGGATGAGATTTACAGAAGATCTGCTCTTCAGTGGACTTCTTGGAGCGCGCATTGCAGAATGATTCATTTTTGCAAGAATGGTCACTTTGCAATGCGGCGTTCATACCAGCAGTTGTGTGTAGTGCTGCATCACGCTCTCTTCTTGTCCTTCGGCCCTACATGCGCGAAGGCCGTGCTCTTATTTAAAAGAACGAATCAGTTGGGAGGAATGCCGCCTGCCAAAGCCTAAGCAGAACCCAAGGGCATGCAGATTTTGCAGGTGTGGCAGCCGAACGGCGTCTACATGAACCGCGGAAACCATGAGGCCGGAACCAAGGAAGTGGATATGAGTAAGAGGCCCAAAAGTACAAGCATTAAGGAGTTCTCTTTGTAGTTGAAGAGGGCCACTCCGGCCTAACTCATTCTAGGAATATGGTCAGGCTGAGATGGCCAACCATTTCTACGGTTTCTTCGGAGAGCTGGAGGTGAAGTATGAGAGCCTTGGCTTCTCTCTATTTTCTGTGCTACAACCTCTCCATGTTGCCAGTGGTACGAAATACTCAGCACAAAGGCTTGTTTTTTGACGGGTCTGCTTTCAGGAAGCGTATGATTGATCTCTTCGCAGAAATCTTCCGGGCCACGCCCCTGTGCCACGTCATCAATGACGAGGCCCTGCCTTGCGTGTCTCTCTTGGACGACCACAAGTATTGGGACCACAAGTATTGAGGAAGTCCATAGGTCATTAATTTCAAGGGGTTCATCACTTTCTTTGGCTAGTACAGGGCCCGAGGCTGTATCCGTGCCTGGCTTGTTTGACGCGGTGTGAGATCTAATTGAAGTGTAGCAACTTTGCATCCCACAAGCGCGAGAAGCTCTGACAGCATGCCTCCTCCCCTTCCCTCCCCTCCGAGGGTTTAGGGTCCAAGGTTGAGGCTCCCTCTCCTCTTGAACAACAGCAAATATCATTGGTAGTCTGGCTTGGTAGTTTGCGGGTAACGAGGCAGCCGGAAGCCTGCGCAAGGTCTTTGTGGTTCATGGAGGAATCCCTGGCCCAGATCCCCGCGTGTGGTGGAAGGGGATGGACAACCAGATCAGCCGCCTAACTCTCATATTGGTCACAGCTGTTCAGCGCTCCCGCTTAGAATGCCAGGCCGAAACTGACAAAACACATTGCCCTGAGAATCTTCACAAGTTTTGGGTTCTCACTGCTCCAAGGCAAAGCTTACTCAAATTGCACACCAAGCAATTGCTGTCGCTAGCTATTTCACTAAGCAAAACTCCTGTTGGCAGCTGCATGCAGCTGTAGAAATGCGCGCACGCAGAGTTCTTCCCTGTTGGTGTGTAAGTCCTTGTAGCCTTCTGGCACTTGCAGTTTGGCCAGCGTTGCGAATCTCAACCTTTCGAAGTTGCGAGCCTGATGATGGCGCGTGGTACAGTAGGCACTGTAGGGGCTGCAAGGGTCTGAGCAAGTTGCATGAACTGAAGCCTGGTCTTTCCGTTCCCGCCATATTTCATTAGTGGCGCAGAGTGAATGCGGGAATGGGGGGGAGGGGCGATGCTCCCGTGCATGCAAGGCTTCGACGGACGGCAGATCCAGATCAGCCTTGCTGATCCTTGACGTGCATGCCAAGCATGGTCAGATGCAACCTTCCACTTTGCGTAGGCATTCAGATGACTTGGCGACCTCAAACACACACAGTTCAAAGCCGCTTTTTGCTTGAGAGTAGCTGTAGCACCTTGGCATTGCTCTGGGATGAGTTGTTGAGCTGACACATCTCAGGAGATCGAGAACTCCAACCGCTTCATGGAGCCCAACCCAGATGAGAACCCCCTTATGGTGGCACCATGACTGGCACATGGCAACGGTAGATCCTGCAGGATTTGCAATGGGCCAAAGGCATGACTAGCTGAGGATCTCCTCTGGTCTGATCCCAAGGGCAAGGACGGCTATGGCCCATCCGGGCGCATGTCCTCAGGCATCTACTTGCGGCCTGGCTTTGGAACATGAACAAAGCTTACAGTAAAGTGACGCATGATATAGAAGGGTCTGTCATGGGTGGTCGGGAGATGTGAGCATCATGCCCAGAAAGCCGGATTTATGTTTCGACTGCGGTGGAAAGAGCCTGTGTCTTTGTCAAGCCGGCAAACCAACTCTGGAAAGTCGAAACTCAAAGACAGCATGTCTTCAGGTTCGGCCCTGATGTCTCGCGCAACTTCATGCAGTTTAACAACCTGAAGCTCCTTTGGTTGCACTTGTGGATCTCACGCAGCCCTGCGGCCTGGGCATGTTCAAAGTGCCTGGTTGTTGCAATGCTCCCATGCGCAAGATGTTTCACTGTCATGGAAAACTGAAATGTCAAAGGTTTCTCATAAGGCCCGCAGTGGATAGGTGTGTTACGTCTGCTACACGTCTTACATGTACTCTTCAGCGACTTCAAATTCTACAGATGCTCGAGCAGTCTTTGCTCAAACGGCCGCTCTTGCCCCTACTAGGGTCTCAATCGGAGTCTTTTCAATGAAGTGTGTACACCGGGGGACACAACTTTGCGTGGGGCATTGGCCAGAAACAACTTGTCTGCTCAGGATGACCCTGCGGTCCCATGAAGTCAAGGCCGATTTTGTTTTTTTGCCGGGCATCGGTGTGAATTGTGTGAAGTTGAGGACATCTTTGTTTGAGAGGCCCAGGGCTACCGCTTCGACCACGAGGGCGCGTATCCGCTGATCACAGTCTTTTCAGCACCGAATTACGCATCTGGGAGCTGGAATTCATACGTCATGCTTTGTTTCAACGATTATGTTGTCTTTCACATTCGTTGTGAAAGGTGTCTTGAGATGGCAGGCGGGTTGATTTCGCTTCTTGCGCACATTTTCTGGTTGCTCTTCAAATCACCATCGCCCACGTTTCTGAATATCAGCCGGGATAGACAACGTATTCAGTTGAGGTAGACAAGGCTGGAAATATGGCGTCCGTTGCCGTGCTGAGCCTTGGCTACAAAAAAGCCAGACGACAAATCGTGTGGATGACGTGTTTCTAACTCAGTTATTGCTGATGGTTTTGTCGTGCCAAGCTAGTAGTCTGCATCCTGTAGATCATGGCATACCTTGATAGACTTGTAATTCAAAAAAGGAGAAAGTATTCATGAATTTCAGATCTAAATCTTTGAATTCGAAATCTGCTTCTTCCAAAGACCATGCAAGGATTGGGGAGGGTTTACCCTTCCAGAGAACTGGTGCCCCTAGGACTTTTTTTCCTGACACATTTTGTTCGTCAAAGCCAATGGCCAAGCAAGGACAAATGATGGCACCAAGATGGCGGGCCCCGAGTTTGTTCAGTACTCTGCGCAGCCGCACCCAGCACCTCAGCAGTAATTGTTCTTCTTGCGATGAGCACTCAACTGGCTGGGTGGGCAGTGGGGAACGGAAAACCAAACGGACAAGCTAATTGAAAATGAGGTTGCAAGGGATACTTGAAGTCTAGGGTTAACTTGCTGGTTCTCAGGTAGCAGGAGGGAATGAAGGAATTAACAGCTTAACAAACCATACAATGTCATTGGGGATATTTGGGTCTACTATGAGGCTCTGTCCCTCCATTCTACACTGACAAACAAACAACCAGCAAGTCAGGCTTCTTTTGTTGGGTTCTTGTCGTGCACGCAAGCGCTCCTAATTCCTCAGGATTCCTGAAATAATGATGTACAGTTGCAAGTAGCCTCCTTGCTGTTCACATCAATGTGCTGTGGATGTTGACTGAAACTTGAGACATTTGCATCATCTGGGGAATGTATAGAAATCGTTAGGGGACGAGCAGGCGACAAGAAAAAACCGCAAAGCATGGCGTAGCCCTTCACCCAAAATCAGGCATGAACCATGCTTCAAAACTTAATCAGTACAAAGTTGAAGGCTGAGCCCTGGACCCTGACAGTGTTTTTCCAACCAACATACCAACATCAGCCAACTTTCCGTCAAGGTGTATGATTGGTTGTGCCAGAGGGCTAGGCATCTATAGCATAGCCACAAGCAACCTCAGAAGGCATGCCAACAACCTGGTTTTGCAGGTGTCTTTGACGAAACACATTGGTGAATAAACCAATGGCTGTAGCCTAGCCCAGGATGTGCCATCTGGAGCCTACGCCGTGGGTGGTCCGCTCCACCCGGAGAACGCTGCGGCGCGGTAGTGGACGCTGGGCTGCAGCTCTTGACCCCAAACTCTTTCATGTTTCAAGCATGCAATGACGCTCCGGGTGCTGATTAGGTGCTGCATGAATCTCCAGCCATTGCTGGTTTTTGGCCGAGGGCTTCAGACCGGGAAACCATGGCACGCATGTTTGCCTGCCGGATTATGCAGTGGCAATCGCCCTTTCCCACCAAGCCCCCTCGCACGTGAAGCTGGTTCTCGAATCGAATAGTGCGAAAGCTGCAGCGCAGCTGCCCAAATCTGACAGCTGGATGCGCCAAAGGTTCCACTCAAACAACAAATGATTCCGTATCTCTTCTCGCTAACTTCTTACTATCTCTTCATCCGCCTCAGTATCCAGCTCTTGCTTAGCCAAGGCACTTGACACAAAGGGGAGTCGTCGGCTTTCGGAAGCCAATGCGATCCCCTACAAAGTCGTTCTCAATGGCGAGCGCCGGCATGTAATTACATTTCTATTAGTTTCTCCAAAGGTTCTGGAGGCGTTATTCAAGGTTCTGATCAAGAAGTCGCTGGCAGCAATCTTCCGAACCTTTGGAAGTCCAGGGAATATGTGGCTGCCCTGCTTAGCAATAGCCAGGGCACCGTAAGCCCCAACCACACGATCTCCACCCTTTCTCTTTAGGGCGGCAACAGATCCCTGACTGAGCATGGAGTTTAAATCATGGTTCTCCATCTGCCTGTCGCAATTTTTCCGCAAAGCGGCACGGCAGATTCAAACAGCTGGTGCAGTTCACATACTGCACTGTGGCCTGGTTTTGGGAGCTTCTCTTACGACTGCACAAGCACTAGCAGGAGAAAACAAGCATGTGCCGTCATGGGGGTCACGGGCATCGCAGGTTGTCTTCATAGTAGAGTCTGCTGCCGTGGATTCCTGTTAGTCATATCTCTGTCATAGGAATCGGAAGATGCAAACTTCATTTGGCCAACCATCCAGTCAAAGAGGCCGCTGCACAACAGCACGGCGCGCGTGCTGCGGGTGGCGTTTGCATCCCCAGTGTGGGAGGCAGGAGGGAGTGCAGAGTTGGGATAAGGCTGTGTGGCCAAACATCCTTCTCGCTAACTCTTACTTGTGTATTTTGAGCTAGTGTGGAATCACAAGTCTTCAGACCTTGATCTGGGAGGCTGCAGCGATCCAGTCGGGGACGGCTTTGCTGGCGGCAGGGCTCCCAGCCTCGGAGATCTGACAATTGCAGCGACTGCCTCACCATGAACCGTGATGCTTAAGCAATTAAACTCCTCAAGTCAGGAGTTGTTTCAGCAAAGCTGCCGTGCTTGCAGGCTCCTGCCACTCACTCTAGCACCTATTGCCGGTGAACGTGAGATATTTGCAGTCCGCAGTTCAGCTCTTGCAAAGGAGCGGGAGCAGGCCCCCGCACTTTTGCATGAAGCAGCCGGGCTGGAACACTTGCTGATGAAAGCGTGATGTTACTCACGATGGAGGGCCGCTGTTGCTCCTGGGTCGACAGCATTTGAGGATGGGGACCCTGTCAAAATCTTGTCGTTCGACTGGCGAATTAAACGACTCCTTGTCCTCATCCAGCTCTCCACTGCCTTTGATTAACAGAGGGGAAGTGATAGCTTTTTGCCACTGCGCTTCATGTTTGTCTCTTCTTAGCGCGGGCAGATTCTCAAGCCGCACTCATCCTAGGTGGGCGAAATCATCCTCGTGCTTGGGCCAGGGTAATGCTGGATCTTGAGAAATGGGCCAAGGCTTTGGGGTAGCTAAGTCGCCAGTGCCGGCAGGTTTACACCGCTCACCTGGCCGCAAGGTGGCTGAGTCTGGCGCTTGGAGGTGCATCAATGCAAAAACATCACGTTCTATGACATGAAAATAGCGACAAGAGGGCTAGAGCGCTGACGCAATAAGTGCGTCACACTGTTAATTGCGTCCCCCAGTTGCGGGGATGTACGAATGCAGGATATAGTGATAGTGAAGAGGTAGATGGACGAGGTACAAGGTGATCGAATTGTCAGCTGGTATGCGCTTTCTTTGTAGGCTTTGCTAGCTGGGCATAACTGGCAGTCCATGGGCAACACTGACTTCGTTGGTCAGCACTGGCAGAAAGATCCTGAAAGTTCCATGAAAGCCACCCCTGGAGGAAGTCCACAGCCTTCGAACCCGTCCACCTTAAAGCCCAGTACAACGTAACGAAGTAAGAAAAGTCGGTAAGGGGCCGAGCCTAGGCAGCGCATCATCGCTGCAGCTACGAGGCGCTGCCTTGGCAGCCTGCCAGGCCTTCAAAAAGGGTGCCATTGACAGCAGTTCTTTGCTGGTTTCTGGGTTCAGTGTTGGGGATTGGGTTTGCAGGCTGGAAACTGGGCACGGGGGAAGAAGCTTTGTGGAATTGTTTCGGGATTTGGCCTTGACGAAAGGATCCTTTGTATCGTATAGGAGTGGAGCTCGCGTGTGCGCGCGAACACATCCATAGAGAACGCTTAGAGCTTTGTGCGTCGCGTGCCCTATCATTGGCATTCATTGCTCTTAATTACCGGTAACTGGGCCTGTAATGAGCACTGGGCAAAGACTTTAACCAGGTTCTACATCAGAGAATAAGAGAAAGAAAGTGTGGCCAATTTTGACAAAGTTGTGTTGTGCTTCGCGTTGCGGAAAGTGCGGGGATCCGGGTCAGTAGTGGAAACGACTTGGCTCTTGCGCTTGCTTTGATTGCTCCTGATGCATGCTGCGTACCGCCATGAAGCTTTCAGTCTCCAAGATGGGAAACCTGAAGGTGGCGCAAGACTGCATCGTAATTTTGTTTGCTAGCGCGTTGGGCGATCTCGCCGTACTGACAGTCCTCCTGTTTCAATGTTTGACTGTGTGACCACCGACATCCACCGAGTGTGAATGAGAGACAAGGAGGAACATGCGCTTATGAACAGAGTGCTTTTGCCTTTCAACCATTTCCAAAGCCAGAAGAGCTTTGTAGACTGTTGTCTCTAAGCATTCTGTCCTTGATGATATTACGCAACGAATTGTATGAAAGCTGCATGGGAACCTTACACTGAATGCTCGGGAGAAGGGCGGAGAGTTGCCAGCGCATTTGTCCAACAGTATGCGCTGGTCGGAATCCACATGCAGAGATGATAGCAAAACCCACTCATCAAGAAACACATGTCCAGATATGGCCAGCAATCCTGGACAGGCTTCTGGACAACTTCAGCGCACGCATGCTGAGGAGCTTGGAGATCTTCACCCCTTCCATCTCAAGTTTCTAAGAATGAAGGAGAGCAAGGAGGTTGGCACGGGAGTAGTAGTACTTGAGCCGATTCGAAGGACTTGCCCACCTTCGCGCCCGCTCCCCTGATGGCAGTGCACTTTCAATCGCCATGGGTAGCATGCGTGATCAAGATCCAGTTTTCGTTGCTATGTATAGGGTGCCCACGACTTGAGCCACACCCAACTTTGCAATGAACTAGCAATAGGAACTGGTGATCTATTTTGCCGCGCTTTTTGCAACTGGAGTCGCATGCACGTACCTTCCGTTGTCACTGCCTTGGAAGCAACTAAGACAGGACCCGCATATGCAGCATCCTTCTGCCTCAACGTCTTTCCAGAAAGGGTTTTTCGAAGTCCTCTGACTTCGATGAACAAGCCCCTCAGCACAACAGCTTGAAAGAAGGAACAAGCAACCGGTCGGCTTGGAGGCCGAAGGTAGGACCACCTCTTGATGTTTTGCGCCCGAAGCCGCAGACGCCAGCATGCAGGTACGAGGTTGGCACAACTGCAGCAGCAGTCCAGAGAGAAATAGATGGACAAAGCAGGGGCCTTGGTGCTGAGTTGCTGGTCATGGTGACCCAAGTTATGTCCAAGTTCATCCCATGATGTAGTTGCATGATGGCTTCGCATACCACAATCCAGTTCTGGCACTCATGACAATCTACCGGTCTGGGCTAGTCTGCACTTTGAAAAGGGGTTTACCTGCCCTGACTAGCTCGAGATTTGGCCGCCGCACTTGCATTTGACACCCAGAAAGTTCTTGAAGCACGCCAGCTGCATACCAAATCGATGCTACAAGTAGCCATCTACTGTACGGCACTTGAATTAAACAGAGCCGCTTGGGTCTAAACAACTTGTTATACTTCAGCATGAGCGGATATCTGCTTGGCCAGGTGGGCCTCCAAAGTACGAGGCTTTTCTGCCCAGCCTTGCAGCTCTCATGTCAATCCGAAAAGCGCTCAAGCTTCCTTGTATCATGCTGCACAAAGGATGAAAACAACAGTGCCTCCAGGAGAATTATCAATGAAGTTCCCATGCAGGGCAGAAGCTGTCTCATCAGATTGCACAGGCCAATGCTGAAGGCCGCGAGCCCAGCCAAGCTCTGTGACTCTGTGCAGTGTTGCTTGCTGTCAAGTTCCGGCTGGAATGAGATGGGATTGAGGCACGGGATACAAGTATGGTAGGGTCCATTTGTCGGAGCAACATGGTGTCCACCTGTCCATCTAGCTTCAGTCTAGAGTTCACTGAGCTGGATGGATCTTAGGGTTGAGCGGCTTGGGTTGTATGTCCATCTTCTTGGCTGAGACGTACCGGCCAGAGATGAATATTGGTTACCCCACTTTCAACGTGGCAGCAAGGCCAATCTTGGCAAGCAGAGGTAGCATTGATCTTGTGACAGCGGATGACTGCAGAAATCTTATGGGCATGGAGCGGTCATTTGACTACACCATGCTTTCACCAAGTGTGTTGCTCTGCCAAGGCTTGTGCATTGACATCCTGCTGAGCCCGGCAAGGAGAAGTCGCGAAGACAACGCGCTGGAAAACAGGATAATCCTGTTGGTCAAGGCGCAGTTAACGCTACAAGTAGCTCCATTCAACAAGGCCCTTTGTGTGGAGATGCCCCCCGCTATCCAGAGCAACACGTAGCCATTGGCTCTTTGCAGCAGCAGACGATGTGTGCAAGGATAAGACAGGCCTAACCCCGCGGGAATGCTGGGTCTGAACTGCAGAATGCCGCAGCAGCTGGATGCAGAACTCTCTCC